TAGCATGCAAAATATTTTCGCTATTATTATATGTTAATATTGTTTCCATAATAATTTCTTATTATACTTCGCTTTCTTATTAAATAACTTGACAGGGTTTTTGATTCCGTTTACAATGTTGTTGCTTGAAAATAATGCAAAACGATTATACAGATATTTATTGAAATTTAGTTGTATTTTTAAAACATGTCTCATATAAAATAACTGGCATTGCTTGAAAAGCGACCAACAAAAAAACTATCAAAACCATTTATCATATAATAATTTCATTATTCCATCATTATTGTCATGGCGTTTCGTTTTTTTTTTTTATTATTTTTATTTCACCTTGTATGTGATTTGCTAATGATAACCTTAATACCTTGCTCCTGAAATTAATTCTGACATCAATAGTCAAAATATCTGATGTTTTTTGAATGCTATGGAGAGAGGAGATGCAGGCGGGATTGCAATTTATTTTATATATAAACGATCTTTACAATTAAGAACAGTGTTACTTTCTCTCTAAGAATATTGGCTTGGCTTGGAAGTTCTATGTTCTTTCTCTCTCTCTCTCTCTATCTCTCTCCATCTCTCTGACGTTATTAATTTGCATTAAGGACGACAAAAGAAATGATCAAACATTTATCTCTTGCGGTCTTGTTAAACAGCAAAAAAGATGCGAGATAAAATCTTTAGCTTGGAATGCTTTTGAGCCAGATATTAACTTAGAAGAGATACTTTCAATCTTTATAACTTGAAAACCCACACTAAAGTGTAGCCCTGCAATTTTGTTTTTTTTTTTTCTTTTTTTTAGAAAGAAACATTTGCGAGTTGCGAGCTAGAAAAGTTTTCTTTATTAATAAAATAATGCCTTTTTTTTGATCAAAAAACTTGATCTATTCAATCGAATACTCGCTAATTAGCCAAGAGATAGTATTTTTTAAAAATCCGTAGTTCTCTAGCTATTGTAAATTAAATGGTTTCTAACTTGATACTGAGACTGATCAAAGCACTGAAATATGTCTTGGGCGCTACAAATTTTCATAGCGTTCCCAATCAAAATAAGTCATCTTTTAATGAAATTAACGCACAATTCTTTAATGGTATGTGTCAAGCAAGGAAAGCCAGGCGGAACTCAGCTAGAACTTAACAAAACCGGTGTATCATACATATCTTCTCCCCAAAATGCAAAGAAATAAATATTGAATAGCAAATGTTTACGGAGAGTGCATTTTCATAGCTAAAGATCAAAATTTGTACCGCTTGTTACGCTTTATATCCGATCAAGGCTGCATATAACCCATGCCTTATGATTATCCATAACAGGAAATTAGACATCAAAACGTGTAGATACGAAAAAGATTTCAATTTGCAATAAAAGCTTTTGAAAACGCCGCCGGATGCTTGCCATTGCAACAATGGTTTACTTTTTCCGACTGATCGCTAAACTTATCCTTATACGATAGTTGAAAAAATGCCAGTTGCTCTTTGTTTTTCATCCGTTTGGCCGAATAATTATTTTGAAAACTCTTTCTCGTAACCGAATAACTACAACTGATTAAAAGAAAATTGTATTAAAAAAATTATGCTCTAATTATGCTGCTTGATCTTAAGACTTGCAAACGAATGAAATAAATTTAATGACTGGAGTAATGTGCACAATATATATTTGAGTTCAAAAAGACAAGCTTATCTATTGCATATACTGATATTTTAATTTGTAGATCAGTTTGCTTTTAATCACGAAAAATAATAATTTTTTTCTGAAGCCGGCGCATATTTTTGTTTGTGATCGTTTTCTTTGAAATAGCAAAACTGATATAAAATAAAAAAATAACTATAACAAGAATGGCTAATAAGCGATCACAATGTCCGAATATAACTGTAAGAATAACTTGAATGGTAACAGTGATGAGTAAGGCATCGAGAGCGATATAGTACGCGAAAGAAAGTAAAGAAAAAAATTGTTAAAGATTTATTATAAAGATCACTGAACGTATACTTAAAAGCAGATAAATGTCAATATGTCTTTGAAGGCTAATCAGCCCTTTCCTGAAAAAGAATAATTTGTTCTTAACACGCGAAAAGGACTAATGGCATCAAATGAGCTTTGAAAGGCGCAAAAAATTATTTTTCGCTTAGAAATGAATGCAAAAATTTCTATCTCGTCAGTTACAGATATCATCGCTAAGCTAATTGTCTGTAGAAAGTTCCAGCACTGTCCGTGCGACCTAAAAGCGTCAAATCACTAACTTTTAAAGGCCCGAACAACGAAACCGCACGAATTAGAAACAGACCATTCAGAGGGCTAAACTAGTTAAGCTAAATATCATATCACTGTCGCTAGGAATACAAATCTGCGCACAAATACATCCGAGTTAACCATTCTCTAAATATTTCGACGCTGCCTTCCAAAATCCTTTAAAGCACAATGTCTAACTGTGATATAGGTGGTTACGGTGGCTTCAAAGCGATTAACTGACTAATTGATACTATCAAGAAGCCGTTTACAGATTACTATTGCCTTCAATATGAATCCGACTCTATTTCTCGATGTGAAAGAAACTTCCTTTAAAACTTATAGGAGTTTGTTAACATAATCTATGATTAAAGAGAAAAGTAACTTCTTCCAAAAAAAAGATCGATTTTGCTTTGGGTTGAAAATCCCCTGATTCATTGTGATTGACATTAAAAAGATCATTAAAAATTTTGTTTTTGGGTAAAAGCGATCTCTTAGGAATGGATACAAAAGTTTGCCTTTCTTCATTTATTACTTGAAACGAACCGAATGATCTACAAGAGATTGGTCTTTCCTAATACTTAGTGGATCGTACGACAACGGAAAGCTATTGAAATATTGTTTATATGACGCAATTGGAAATGAAAGAAGAATAACGAGACTGTGACGCCTGTTCTGTGTAGTGTAGTGTTCCCTAAAAGCTTGTAAAAGCATTTGCTTGATTTGCAGCGAATATCATTGAAACTAACCTTTGATTTAGAAAAAAAATGCAGAAGTTTTACCTCACTTTGTTCATTAGTTTGTAAGAATTAGATGGACATGGTTAACATTAAAAGAGGGTTTTATGTCTCTGCTTATAGTAAACTGTTCCAGAAAAGGTTGTAGAAGCGTTTGCTTGATTCGCGTTTAAACTGGCATTTGATGTGGAAAAAGACGCAACAGCTTTACGTCACTTCGTTTATTAGTTAGCGAGGATCATGTGAATGTTAAGAGAAGCTTCAAGTTTCTTATTATCAGAATAAATGGACTAAGCTGGTTACTAAACTACGTTTTGTATCGAAAGACTGATATTTGCAATAAAAATAGGGACCGGTCGGAATTTCCTGTTACTTTAAAGATTAAAGCAAATATTTTTGTGATAACGAGTGTCAGATTAAGCTTTCAAGTCGAAACTAGAAGCTTCCTAGTTAATTAATTTATATCAATCAGTGAATGCAGCATACAGTGAATGTAATAAATTTCGAACTTGTTTGCTTTCAATAAATGCAATAATTATTTTCGAGTAATTAAAGCAAAGCTTGGCTTTATCTTATTGTTTGGTCACTAATACTACTTCTCTCTTTGTCCTTTAAATCTAACCTTTAATTGAACGAAACATTAAACCCTTAAAATTCGCAAAATAAACTTAAACTATAAGTAAAACTGAAATTTTTTTTTTGCAATTTACCACATAAACGCTTACACACATATGCTTACAATTTATGAAGTTTTTCCGAATAAGTGAATAAAATGCAGTAAAAGAAAAGTCACTACAACGACTATGTTGCTATGAAATCCTGTGTTGAAAAACATAAATTCCGCTCAGTAAAAATTATCTACTCCATTATTTAAACTCTATAAAATAATCGCATGTCACCTGCGGGGTCTTATCGGTGTAGTCACACTTTTAAAATGAACTTAAACTGACAAAGTGTTCTTAGACTTAAATATGTGAATGTGTTTGTGTCTGCATATATATATATATATATATATATATGTTTCTGGACGTGTGTGGGCTACAAAAAAGTCATTGCATACACATGCACTGCATTTACAATTTCTGCAACGATTATATGTGAGAAATGTTTAGTTGAACACTTTTTTTTTGCTTTGTATGCTCTAACATTGAAACGTTTTTTGTATCCGAAGAAGAGACGACTTTGAATTGGAGAAAAATATATAAGAAAAGAAATAAAAAAAAGTCTGTTTGCTCCCTCCTTTATATGTAGGGAAGAAGTACAAGTAGGCAGAAAGCAAAACGTACAAAAAGGAATAAACAAAGTGTGAATTGTGCACAGTTTGCCAACTCAAGCGATAAAAGATCTCGAACAGGGCGTAGAGGAAAATTGTAAGAACGAAAAAGCCTATAAGTCGAAAGGTTCTCAAATCGTTTTTTTTCGCCTTTCTTTTTTTGTTTATTAAATCACATATAAAATAAAAATAGAAATTTAAATTAAATGATATATAACTCAGTGATGGTTGTAATCATAAAAAGAGGGTTGCCCTCTGTGCTACGTTGCCTCTCTTTCTGCCTCTACATCTCTCCCCTTTTTTTTGGCTTCTCTTTGCTTTTGACAATAATTGCCATTTAACTGTTTTATAATGGCCGTCGTTTGCAATAAATGCAGAAATTGTTTTCAATTAAATGGAAGAGAAACGAAAAAAAAAAAACCCTTAAGTCTCTCGCAGCCATTCCATCAAAAATTCATAAATTCCCATAAATTTTCATGAAACTAAAATGAGATAAGGTGTAGGAAACAGGAAAATCACCAACAAGAAAAAAAAAAAAACAACAACTAACCCTAACATCACACGTTATTATGTAATAATTGAAGGTGGGCAAGAATGAAATTTCGTATTAAAAAATTTAAAACAAACGAAATTTCGTCATTACACGTTATTTTCAACTAAAAATGATTAAAATAATTTGCTATAAGCAGATAGGTTGTAAAGGAACCATTTCGCGCTAAGATTCCCAATTGATTGCTTTTCTGTTTTCTTTGAAATTTTCGCTACTCACCTCCGCCGCCGAAACCTTGACCTGGAAATAGTCCAGGTGGCCCAAATGGTGGTATTTGTCTGGGTCCAGGCCAAGGTACCCCAGCCCCACCTATACCGCCCCAAGCTACCGCCGCTGCAGCTAAAGCACTAAACGGCGTCGGTCGTATCGGTACATGACCGGAAGCGGCTAAAGCGGCAGGCGATAATAAATGCGGGGAATTTGTTAAAGAACTGGGTATTTCCGCTGGCGATTTACTCGTATCCAAATTATCAGGTGTAGAACGCGGTGAATCCTCATTATTCATATCTTCGATATCGACTATCGAATCTTCTTCCTCATCATGGTCCATAATATCTGTATCGTTAAGATCTTCATCGTAATCCAATTCTGAATCCACCGAACTGCCAATGGGCGAATGACGTTCGCATTTTGCCGTCGGTCCTGGCGTACTATTATTTATCGCACTATTATTGGCATTAATTTCTCCAGCATTTATGGAACTATTTGAAGAACTGGCCGGGGGTGTAGTTGTGGTGTTAGTGCTAGTGTTTACAATGTTATTATTAGCAGCATTAGAGGAATTCGCACTATTATCCGTTAGCGGTGAACTGGTATTCAGAACCAATGTTCCCGTTGGTGTACAGGCACTTGCAGTGTTAAGAGGATGACGTAGATGAGCAGGTAAATGATGAGTTAAATGCACCGTGGCGGGATTAGCACCAGCAGCTGCCGCAGCTGCGGCTGCCATAGCAGCAGCATGCTGTTGTTGAGCATGTGCAGCGGCCGCATGGGCTGCATGCAGCAAATGGGCATGATGAGCCATAGTTGCCGGATGAAATTGCGGATGTGTATGACTTGCATTGTGAGTAGGAGACGCAGGTGACGAGGAAGAAGATTCATGGGATACTGGTGACGTAGCTGCCGAAGGAGTACTTGATAAATTTGTTGGCGCTAACTGTAAGCCATTATCTGGCGGTGTTCGAGGTCTAGTGTCTGCTAGCAAAGAAGCTACACTAAAGTTACTTAACCTTGATGTGGTCTTATTTAGGGGATGTTGTTGCGTATGGTGAAGATGATGCTGATGATGGTGCTGCTGGAGATTACGTAAATGCTGTTGATGTGCCATTATTAAAGCGGAAGGAGAGGTGGGTGTAACTGCTGCACTAGTCGAGCCCGGGCTAACAACAACCGCGTTTGGACTGCTGGTGCTGGGTGGCATGGAAGTTTGTGGCGTTACCGTCGGGCTAGTCATATTTGCACGTAAACCAGTTACAGTCATACCTGATGATAGTTTCAACATATGTAAAACTTACGGTCCTTTGGAGTCTTTTCCAATTACGAAAGACTCAAGTTCTGAATTTTTATATTGTTATTATTATTATTATTATTATTATTATTTATTTATTTATTTGTTTACTTTTTTCTCTTTTTTTTCTGTGCTCAACTTTGATAATTTTTCCTTGCACACTAAATACTAATTTTATTTAAAAATATTTTTGACCATCGTGTCATGCAGTTAGTTATTTAAAGAAGAGCGTTTATTTTTAGTTTTAAAAATACTGCACTTAATTTTTGCGCTAATTACAAATTAATTTTATTTTTTTTACACATATATCTGTCATTAATACGCACTTCACTTCGCTCCCATAATAATTAAAAGAAAATTAATTAAAGAGCCGATTGTTTGTGTATTAATTTGTATTAATTGAATATATATATATATTTGTATATATATATATATATATATGTATATATATATTTTTTTTTGTCAACATCTAAGCCAAGCGCACGTTTATTGAAACGACATCCTCCCGAGTTCACGACTGTTAAACAACTAAATATTAAAGTATTCACAGAAAATCTCGGTTCATTCACATACAATAACGTGTGCATACAAAAAAAAGAAAAACAAAAAGCAAAAAAAAAAAGAGCTCAACACAACAATTCTTCTCGCAAACAGCGGTAAAAAGAGCTAATAAGACTCTTGATAAGCATTAAAAGTGTTCATAGTGTTGTTGTTTGTATATTTCATTGAATACAGAAATGCGAAACCAGTTCAACCACTTCATAGCATTGAATAAAAACGAAACAGACTATTTTCTTCACTTTCATACGCGTTCTCTTTCTCTTGTATGCGTTCGTTAAAGCAAACACCATTTTTATATGTAGACCAACAGCCTACATAGGGTTACTAATGACTCGCGTTATCTCTTTCTCTCGTGATTATAGATTTTTCATCAATGCTTTTCGTGGTGAATTTGTAATTTCTCCTATGAATTAAATATGAAACGCCCATTTACATTGTAGATGCTATGGTGAGTTTGTCTGCCAATGTTTGAATAGCAATACTCTCTCAAGCTTTTTGATTATTTTTTAAATAGATTTCTACATAAGTTTTTTTTTTTTTTTTGAATTGCTTCATTCTCTTTTCATATACATGCCTATGTATAGATATTTATATATGTTCGTTGGGTTTATTTTTATTATTTTAATTGTATTTCTTTGCTTTTCTGTTTTTTGGTGTCATTTACCATATCGTTTCATCTCTTTTTAACTGCATTATAATTGTTGCTCCGTCAGTCTGCCTTATTGCCTGTCCGTCTGTATATTGCTAGCTATTTACGTTCTCTCTATTAGTCTGCTCTGCTGCTGCTGCTGCTGCCATTGCGGTTTAATATGGTTTTTGTATATTTTCCTCTTTGCAATAACAAAAAAAAAAAAAAAAGAAGCAAACAGAGTGTATGTATAAGTTTGTGCGTATATATGTTATTTGATATTTTCTGCTCGTACAATTTTGTCACCTTTTTAGTTATGGTTCCGTGTCGTGTATAGGAGTGTTGTTGTTGTTCTCTTTCTTATTATTATTATTATTATTGTTTTTTTTTTTTTTCGCTCATTTTTATTTCAACCATTGTGGCAAAAAAGCATTTTGGTGTTTAATTTTATTATTGCTGTTTTGTTAGTGTTATGTGTACCGCAAAGAAAAAAGAAGGCAAATATAAAGAACCGTTTTCTTAATCGTGTTCTTCCTCGCTATTAATCTTTTGTCTTTTTCTCGCATTTTTATTTCAATATTTTGTTTCCTTTTTTTTTTTTTTATTATTATTATTTTTATTTTGTTGTTGTTGTTGTTGTTTTTTTTAAACAAAATTGTCATTGTTATTGGTATGCTTTCCAGTGTAATTCAGTTTTGCTGTATATTTGTTGTTGTTTAGTCTTTCCGTTAAAGCTTTTTGGGTTGCATTTCTTTTTTGCAAAAAATTAAACAACGACTAATACAACGACTTATGCTTTTATTTATTGAGTCTCCCTCATTTGGGGCCAAAACGTCTACTAATAAGAGTGTTTTTACTTATAATCACCACACATTTATGTAAGATAAAATGGTAAAGACAAATAGAAGGAGGGAGAAAATGAAAGAAAGAGAAAGATAGAAAGAGAGGGGTAGAGAGAGAGACAGAGAGAGAGAGGGAGACAGGGAGAGAGAGGGAAAAAGGGTAAGTTGTGTGTGCTTAATATAGAAGAATATTCAAGCATTCAAACTTTGTTTTTTTGTTTGCTTTACTACTAATATAAGTTGTATAAGTTGTAATTGCTTACAAACAGTATAGAGAAAAGTTAGTTAGAGAAAGAGAGAATTAATACCGAGAGCAACTAATTAAGTGATTAAACAATTGCAATTAATTTCAATGGTTACGGATTTTGTATTAATTTTGCAGCATATATATACGTGACAAAAAGTAAAAGAAAATGAAGAAAATAAAAGTTAAGCAAAGAAAATAATCATTAATTGTAATGTAAGTCAAGTCAAGTTTTTGTATTATATTTGCAGAAAAATCGTGTAAATAATGTAAGCATTACTCGTGATACTTAATCACTTTTCGGGAATGCTAAGATTAAATTAAAATGGAGACTTTTTAATTATGTCCATAAAGCGTTAGGATCGTCAAAGTGGATTTCTCCACATGTTTGCTCTCTAAGTATCTAAACAAATGCATATGTTTACAAAAATTGACCGAAACAATGCGTATAAAATAATAATAAAAATGATAAATAATCACACTATTGTTATCTCTTTGAAAAAATTAAATAAAAAAAAAAAAACAAAAAACAAAATAATAATAAAAAGAAATCAATACAAAATAAAGCATCATATTTTTGTTATCCCTTTCGTATATCATACGATGTATATTAAATCAAAATATTTTTGTTTTCTTTTTTTTTTTTTCTTTCATGAACATATAGCCACTCACACACCACGTTTCGGTGAATAGATTTTATGCGCATCGCTGTTGAGCTTATCACAACTTCAGCATCTCTTTATTACTCTGCATGAGGATGCTGATGGTTTAACAAAAATAAAAAAAAAAAAACAACAACGACAATAGATGGCCAAAAAAGCCGGTAAGAAAACGGAAATTAGGTTTTTTGTGGTGAATTGCAAAGAGGAATTTTTGCGATGTGAAGGCAACAACTCCCCCCAAAAAAAAAACACTGAGGCGGAAAGTCAAGAGATTTTAATTTTTGGTTTGATGATAATAAAACTGATTATGCGATCATACAGAAAGCAATGTATTTTAGAATATTTATAATGAAATTTTTATGGCTTAAATGGTTTTGAGACAAACAATTATTTTTTTTTTTTTTTGAAAGATGTACATCGTCTACCAATGACAAAACGATGCAATAACTTAGAAAGGACATCTGTGAGACATTTTGTTAGTAATTTGAGGAAAATTTGTAATGTATTCAAAAATTCGAGTTAGAATAGCAGCGGTGACGTAATTTTAACAAATTTATATATAAAGTATTTTTTAGCAGAACTTAGCAACATGATGGGGATCCAACAAAAAGTTCTGCCCATTTTCAAAACGCGACAAAATCCTAGTTTCCGAATACGCTCCGAAATGGTTTGTTGAGCTGAATCAAGCCTTCTCGTAATCTCCGATGTTCTCATAAACGAATTTTGCTGTAACAAGCTCTTGACAGTGTTATCGTCAATCAAAGATGGTCGCTCAGAGCATGGCTTATAATAACGATCGCAATCATCTATTCTTCAAACCATCTTCTGTCTGTTGCGTCAGGAACTATATCTTCACCAAACACTTTCAATAAATTGCTAAGGACTTCTGTAGCCTTTCTTCTTTGTCAGAATTCGTAAAAAATGCAGCGGCTTTAATGAACTTTTTCAGTAATCATGGGTACACGATCGCGTCTCATTTAATGCTGACGTGAATCATCTATGCATATATTCAATTAGAAAAAAAAAGCGAGCTAAATATGGGCCAAATGGATGTGCGCGTACTTGTTGAAAGTTGTTGTAATCGAAACGGATGCAACTTCCTTTAGAAAGTATTTCTTCCTTTTCCCTTCCGAGAGTCTATCTTCTTTAGTATTATACACAGCATTGCCAACGCAGTTTCTAGATTAAAGAAAACACTGATGGGAATCTTGTTTGAATACAGTCTCGAGCTGTTCGTGAAGAGCATTGATTCTTAAGGATCCATTTTGCTCCGAAATGTCGAAAATACTTGCAATAAATCATTTTTTTACATCTCACTCATTTTTTAGAATACACTTATGAGGACCATGATGCCACTCATCACAGACGTGAAAACTGGGTTTGCGTGACTCGTAAGACACTTCCACAATATCGGCGATCATTTTAAAAACGGTTTTTCGATTGAATGCTAAAATTTCTTTAATGTCTTTAAGTCGTGGATATCCTAGGAAGCTCAAACCAAGCATCATTTTCGATTCTTAATCGTGATTTTTGAAAAGTCTTAGTAGTAGTATATCTTTTCGAGCACTAAGCAACAAAGTATACGTTTGGAAATATGCTGACTGCAAAAGGATTTTAAAAAAGAATGATTTGAGACAAAGGACTTTGCATCTTGGCCTTGAGTTATGTCTAAACATATATATACATAGATACTTTTCTTAAAATCCTGGGAAAAATTTGGAAAATTAAAAAAATATATATAAAAAAAGAAACATTAGAATTCGTCGTCATCAATGGCGTTGTACAGAAAGATAGCAATAAAAGAATGATGACAAAATTTACATATGCAAGTCAATGTGAAAATAATTGTAGCAATTAAAGAAAAAAATTTTATTTGTTAGTGAACATGAAACAAATTAATATTTCGCTCACTAATAAGATTACACAAAAAGAAAATAAAGCAAATAAAAATTAAATGAAACAAATTTATTCGTTCAGCAATTATTGGGCTAATCTAATGCAAAATTTGAATCCAAACAGTTCCGGTGAGACTTTTAGATGTCTTTGGCTGCAACATTAACTTCTATTAGCATAATTGGAAAAAATCACCTTTAATGCTCACTTGTGTTTATGGATGTGCACTGTATAGTAGACGTGATTCTGTAAGCTAAGGATAGCTTAGGGTTTCCTTTAATAATAACGTAGTTCGACAAGTTCGACTTTGACGCGGTACGATAGTCTATCTCAGCATATGCTAAGCGATTTGCTGCGACGAATTTCGAGAGTTTAATCAAAGGAAAAGAAATACTCTGTGATGGCTACTTTGGATGTCGCCAAACAAAAAAGTAATATTTTTTTTTTAAAGGATAGTTCTCATCCTTGAAAAGAAACTTGGCTCTGCTGTTTACTCAGTAGAAAGCTTTTGGGAAAGAAATGCACTTCATTTTAAGATCAATTTTTATACATACGTTCGTTGGTGGAGGGCAGGAGACAAACTTATACTCATAACTCCATCACCTAATTGGTGAAGCCATATGCCAAGTATTAGATTATCTGCTGCTGTTGTTTTTGTAAATAATGTTTTCTCTTACGGTTTGTTG